GTTTTGTTGTATAGTTGAACACATACTTTAGCCGTGTAAAGATGTTACTTATATTTTACGGTGTGTTTTGTTGTATAGTTGAACACATACTTTAGCCGTGTAAAGATGTTACTTATATTTTACGGTGTGTTTTGTTGTATAGTTGAACACATACTTTAGCCGTGTAAAGATGTTAATTATATTTTACGGTGTGTTTTGTTGTATAGTTGAACACATACTTTAGCCGTGTAAAGATGTTACTTATATTTTACGGTGTGTTTTGTAGTATAGTTGAACACATACTTTAGCCGTGTAAAGATGTTACTAATATTTTACGGTGTGTTTTGTTGTATAGTTGAACACATATCTTAGTCGTGTAAAGATGTTACTTATATTTTACGGTGTGTTTTGTTGTATAGTTGAACACATACTTTGCCGTGTAAAGATGTTACTTATATTTTACCGTGTGTTTTGTAGTATAGTTGAACACATACTTTGGCCGTGTAAAGATGTTACTTATATTTTACGGTGTGTTTTGTTGTATAGTTAAACACATACTTTAGCCGTGTAAAGATGTTCCTTGTATTAGTGTGGATAGTTTCTTAGTTATTTCGCTTGTCCAACGTGTTTTGTTTTACATTTTCCTGGTTTTCCCAAGTACAAATTGAAAAGTTTGTTTTTGTCCTGCAGTTTTTATTCATCAGGCACTATAATTATTTACACGTTTCTGGCTTCAGAAGGTTTTATGGTTCGTGTATAACAACAGATCCCTATATTTTGTTCACGTTTGTAACAGGAATACATTAACAGTATCAGAAACGACATCCTTCGTTATACTCTTACCATCCTTCGACTGAAATTTGTTTGTTTGTGTACAGAATCAAATGTTGTAAATTTGTGGAAAATAAAAACTCCGAGTTTAAATATCCACGACTACAGCTGGATTAGACTAGGAATCTATTTTACGAGGAGTTAACACCTGTGCTGACATCATGTCACAGAGAAGCACGCGACGCACGTGATGAAAAGACACTCTTCTCTGTCTCCTTCAGTCTTGTTGACACTCCCAAACAAATAGAGAATTAGAATTGTAACCTATGATGAGAACGCACGCGACTGAACGAGACTACTTTCCAATCCAATGGTTGACTCGTTTTTCTATCAACACTTAATATTCTCCATTTTATTGTGAATAGGCTTAGCGAAGTGATTTTTATCATATTTTTGTAAATATTTATATTGAGACGGTATATAGCAGGGGGCGCTGGAAGCATATTTACATTGGTGGACAAGAAATTACATCACTGAAGTAAAGCAATAATATCATGTCCAGAAAGTAGTAAATTAATTTAAACAGTTTACAGATTGTCTTTCAAAGAAGTATTTTTCTAATTACCAACATTTGCTTATCAAACGAACATCAATATCATAATTCAACGTTTTCTTTTTCAGAAATGTGCAAACCCCAAGGTATCAGACAAAAAGTTTTATACTACTTTTGCAAGGACTTACCCTTCCGATATCCAGGTATGGTCAAGATATGGTTGTATTTAGTGTATCTCTAACAAAGTATTAGATCTTGTTCTCCGTGATTTAACTCTACTATGTACTTGATATGGTTGTATTTAGTGTATCTCTAACAAAGTATTACAACTTGTTCTCCGTGATTTAACTCTACTGTGTACTTGATATGGTTGTATTTAATGTATCTCTAACAAAGTATTAGATCTTGTTCTCCATGATTTAACTCAACTCTGTACTTGATATGGTTGTATTTAGTGTATCTCTAACAAAGTATTACAACTTGTTCTCCGTGATTTAACTCTACTGTGTACTTGATATGGTTGTATTTAGTGTACCTCTAACAAAGTATCAGATCTTGTTCTCCGTGATTTAACTCAACTCTGTACTTGATATGGTTGTATTTAGTGTATTTCTAACAAAGTATTTTTAATGTTTTATTAGAACATTTAACACAATTTTTCATTATGCTGTTTTAAAACAAAATAAATATATGTTATTGTGATATTAGTTCTTGATGCTTGTTTCATTATAGGTTGTTCGGTCTGTGATATCCCTGCTCAAGTACTACAAATGGAAAAGGTTTTCTGTTATCTGCGAAGATTCTCAGCGGTTTTTAACTGTTCTGGAACACTTGGAGCTTCAAGCAAACGCTAACAGTATGATACTGAACACAAAGAGTACTTTTGTGAATATTAATCAGTGTCAAGAAGAACGTCTTCCAGACTGTGAACAGCAGTTTCACAACATCATCAAAAACACCTACACCAAAACAAGAGGTAAGGTACCTTTATAAAAAACACCTACACCCAAAGAAGAGGTAAGGTAGCTTTATCATTAACACCTACACCAAAACAAGAGGTAAGGTAGCTTTATCATTAACATCTACACCAAAACAAGAGGTAAGGTAGCTTTAGAAAAAACACCTACACCAAAACAAGAGGTAAGGTAGCATTGTCATTAACACCTACACCAAAACAAGAGGTAAGGTAGCTTTATAAAAAACACCTACACCAAAACAAGAGGTAAGGTAGCATTGTCATTAACACCTACACCAGAGGGAAGGTTGCTTTATCAAATACATCAACACCATTGGTAATTAATATTTATACTCAATACATTAAATTGGTGTTATTCATGAAGTGAGGCTTGTAAAGTATATTATCATTGTGTAAGTGGTCCCTCTGTATAATTATCATTTTATATGTACAACTTTATTTAATGGTTCCTTATGCATTGTTTGATGTTTAACGTACTTTATATGTGATTCAATGATCCCCTGAACATAAGGAAGTATGAAATGGTCTTATCCAACATAATTATTCTCTATAAGATATGTATATGGTCCCTTAACATTAAGTGACTTGTTACCTACAGATTTACACAAAGAGAATTATGAAATTGTTCGCAATATATCGATAAAACTTGGTTTAAATTTAAATTGTTCTTCATATATATAACTTTATGCAAACAAGTTTTGATTTGGGAGGTCAGAAGTGAGCTTACGTACTCACAATGTCAAAAATACAGAGTTCGATTCCCCGCATGTAGCTCATTTTGTAGTTGTGGGCGAAGAAAACGAAATTATTTAATCTTATTCGTTTGATTTTAGATAATGACAAAATAACATCAGCATTAACAAAATATGTCACCAAACATTCGCCATCTATCGACGATAAACTAAAGCAAACCACGTGACTTGGTTATGCAATTTTTAAAAGGTGATACCGTTTGGTATAGTTTCTAGAGCTTTAAAGTAATATTTATTTGAAGACACTTTGTAATTAACATTATTTTTCACTTTACAGTCTACGTGATGTTGGGCCCAATGAAGGAGATGATCGAGCTAATGATCGTTATGAAGACCAAAGGTCTATTGGAGAATGGAGAATACGTTCTGCTCTATATTAGCTACGAAACCTACACAGTGGCTCAATCACACAACTATCTCTGGCGTACGTACTCCTGTATCTAAACTAATCATTCAACAGTGAACAACTTATAAACAAACTAATAACTACCTGACTTTGACACATAATTACACACCTGTGTTTACTGCTGAATTAATCTATTATCACACTTAGATTTCCTGGCTTTTACTACAATACATACTAGTTAAATCTGTGAATAAGATCAGCTACATTATGTACCTAGCTTTCATTGGTCAGAAATTTTTGACACATAAAATAATGATAAATAAACAGCTAAACGTCTAACTAGACACGTAAATACACAACTGTTTATGATAAAATAGATATAAATACAACATATATAAAACCCTTATTAAGAACAACATTAACATATGTAAAACCCTTATTAAGAACAACAGTAATATATATAAAATCTTTATTAAGAACAACAGTAACATATATAAAATCCTTATTAAGAACAACAGTAACATATATAAAATCTTTATTAAGAACAACAGTAACATATATAAAACCCTTATTAAGAACAACAGTAACATATATAAAACCCTTATTAAGAACAACAGTAACATATATAAAATCCTTATTAAGAACAACAGTAACAATATATAAAATCTTTATTAAGAACAACAGTAACATTATTGCTAACAGCAGTGAAGGTATATATATAAGGATTTATTTGTGATAAGATTATAGAACAAGTGTATCAAAATATCAAAAATGCTAAAATTTTTGTGGAGGAACTCTAAAATGCATGTATATTTGGTTTGTCATATAAGATAGACATTGTTTAAATGTACAGGAAATCTCAAAATAAGATACTAAAAAAAAGTTAAAAAAAAAGAAATTATTTCAAA